CAACAGCTCTCTGCAGCCCTGGCTCTGCTCCTGCCTAGGGGCCGAGCACAGAACCCATCGGCATCATGAGAGCGCGGTGCTTCCGTAACATCAGATACACAGCTGAGCACACCCGGTCCTCAGTCTGCCACCTCCAAGGACCCGTTCCTGATGGCCAGGGCACTGCCCAAGCCAGCCTTCCCGCTGCGGAGTGGCGTCCCCACTTCCTTCTCTGTCCTGGCTAGGCGGTGCGGGCATAACCACACTGGACATGGTACATTAACGGTCTGGTTTTCGGTAACCTTCCCTCTTTCTAATTGCTGCTAGGGAGAAGAAAGAAGTCGCGATTATGGACCCCTCAGGGAACACGTATTACAGATGGCTGTTTTGTATCACCTTACCTGTGCTGTACAACTGGACCACGCTTATTGCAAGGTGTCTCTATATATAAATATAGAAATGATGTCATAGAGTATATAAAATATGATATATAAAATATACAAATAAATTTTACATAAAATTATAGAAACCTAAATATATAATTTTATATAAAATATATACTCTATTATATAAAAGATACTTATATATTATATAAAATGTAATTTTACATGTTATATGAAATATATATTATCCATAGGACCAGCACTCGACATAATGGCTATGTTGCTGGATTCCCATGTAGTAAACCATGGTTCAGGTCCCGGACTGGGTGGCTTAAACTCACGCCAGGCACGTGTGCATGCGTGCCCAAGATCCCGAGAGGAGAATGGAGGAGAAGGGATTGCAGCGTGGCCATCCCCCCAGGGGAGATTTCTCTCTTTCTGTCTTTCTGTCTCTCTCTGTCTTTCTGGAAAGCGCACGTGCCCTATAGCAAAAACCTCTCCAAAAAAAGAAAATTAAAAAAAAAAAGAAACATATACTATGCATATAAAATACATTGTGTAAATATACACAATAAGATATCATATATAATGTATATTCTATGTTATATCTAAGTATATATAATATATATATTTACGTGGCTGTCAGCCCACCTCTAGTCCCAAGTTAGCCAATCACACGGTTTGACCTGGCGCTCTGCAGGACACACCTCCCTCTCCACCCAGGTTGTTCTTAGTGTTTTCCTCGTTTCAGGAGGAGGCGCTTCAGTCCCCAGTGCACTTAGCTCTCCGGTACTGGGTAAAGATGTGGAGGCTGGGGTTGCTTTTGTACTCTGGTCGCTCGAGCCTTCAATTAGAAGGTTGGGAGAAACGTGGTCCCCTCAGCCTCCCAGAGGACCCACGGCCAGAGGTGGGGCAAGGTCCGGGTCCCACCTCGGGCGAGAAGCAGCTCAGCCCCAGGACCAAGCGCAGGTTCCCGAAACGCTCAGGGTACAGACGGTCAGCGTGAGCCTGGACTTCAGCGTGTTTACCCAGCGTACATGGACTTGCGCTAGAAGCCATTTATTCCTGCTTTTTACAAAGCTGCCTAGGCTAATGGAAAGACTGCAGGAATTCAGAAAGGTGAGAAAATGGGATGCGACCACTGAAGGAAAGACTTGGCAAAGGCCAGGAGTAGTGAGTGGCCCCTGAGGACGCTCCCAGCCTCCGTGTGCTCCGTTTGTGACCAGGAGCAGAATTATGCATGGGGACCTTACTTACAGTGGCCCACCTCAGTCTGACCGCGTTCCTGCTGCAGGGCGTGCTTTGAGGAGCTGCAGGCTGACTACCTGGAGTGCTGGCTCGTCCTCGACTACCTGTCAGATGGAGTCTACCTTCTCGACATGTTTGTGCGGACGAGGACAGGTAAGACGTTCTGTTTGGATAGTTTTTAATTTAATGTTTTTATTTTTATCATACAACTTGAAATGTCTTGAAATGGCTACCTAACCAGGAGGGGCCTCCGAGAGGCCTGGAAGACGATGCCATTTCAAACCCTCTACTTT